ATGTAAAATTAACATTTCTATTTAAATATCAATGTGAAAGCAGCTGTTAACATTAACATTTCACTGCCCAATTTAACATGACGTGGCCCACACACGCATAAGCTGCCACACACACACACACACACACACCCATACACATGCGGCTGGACACTCACCTGTACAGATCAACAATGGGATTATCGATGGTCTTGCCCAGCAAATCGAGCAGATAGCCATATGCAGCCGACGGTTCGCGTATGCCAATTGTTTGGGCATCCTCGCCAAAGGTGCGCGTATTATCCCGGAACGCGAGTATGGCCGGCGTTTTGCGTTTGGATTCGCGGTTTAGCGCGATTTCCATTGGCACACCGGGCGATACGACGCCCACTTTCATCCATTCACTGCCCAGATCAACGGACATGACAGCGGCTCCATCGCTGCCGGGCATATGGAATGCCATGATGCACACCACCAGCAACAGCGACAGCGACAGCGTCTGGTAGCCGCCGGCTGTCATCCTGCTGCGTCTTTGGGTAGACACCATATTGCAGAGTCTCTATATGCGAAATATATATATATATGTATGTATATACAAAAAGAAAATGTCAGTTAAGCACAAGAGCAATAACCTCTCGTCAAGCGTGTCGCGCTTCCTTGTTCTGAGCACAATACGTTTTCTGCCAACGCATGCAGCTGGTGAGCTGAAGATTTGCTGCAATTTCCCCCGTCACCCCCTTTCGGGGAAATTTGTTGTACTTACGTTTTTGTTTTTGATTCGTTAATTCGTTGTTTGCGGCCAATGCCTGCAGCTATTATTATTGAGAATAAGACTCAGTTGTTTACGTTTTATTTCAACAAAAGCTTGCCAAATAATATGATTAAAATGTCGCTAGCCCAGCTAAATAGCCGCCGCCGTTCAGGTGTTGGGGGCCAACGTAGAAGAAGAAGAAATCGTTGACGTGTTGATTTGGAAGTAAACGCCAGATGTCGATAATTGAATATGAACTATCGATTAAATCATATGCACAGCTGTTGTCGGCATAATGCTAAAAGAGACAGATGGCGCTAGTTAACAGCACAGCTGCACTGTTAACTAACATAGCTGGGCTAAAATGTTATTTGCATTTCAAATTTCCCGCGTTGCTTTAACCGGCTAATTAATTAAATCAATAATCTTATCTTCTTATAATTAGCTGCTATAAATGTAAAAATATATATATATATATATATATATATAGAAAATACCGATAAGATGAGCATATTTTAAAGTTCAGTCAAATAAATGAATAGCCTATGCACGCATTTCTTCAGCTTATACATTTTAGTTAATAACAATTTATCTGTGTCACATGCTTGACATACTGCTTAATCAGCATCGATTTCAATAATTACAAATATTCAACCCACAAAACTTCCAGCTCAACATGCTGACATATGTCAAAATATATTATTACCATAATCTATACTCAACAAAAACTGTTCCGTCAATTTCAATGCGATCTATTGCACACCCTCCCACTTGCGAGACTCGAGTAGCTTTCGGCTTTCGGATATGCAAGCGCATATACCCTTTGTGGCAGTGTATCAATGTGTCTGGTGCACTCGCAAGGGTCACTTTATTTGGGTTCACAAAAAGTGGAACACACCTGCGATTTCAACAGACCAACGCCAACTCAAACGAACAAAAAATAAAATGTTAATATATATATATATATATATATATATATATATATATAATTTTATATATATCATGACGTTTAATTGATTCAACCGAAAATTAACCAAATACCGCAACATTTTCCCTTGCGCAATTCCGTTTGGCTTTTTTGCTGATCTGGATTTTCCGAGCTCATAAAAGATTTTGCCAACCGACTTCAGTTGATTGTCACAAACAGATCGAGAGCCGAGCATGTACGGAGCGCACCTCTTAACGATTTTGGCCATCGGCTGCCTGATGGCACTGCGTCCGGCGCATACTGCGCCCAGCAATGAGCAGCTTGAGGACTTCAACATCCCGGAGGATAACCTAGATGATCGTTTCTCACGCTCATCACACGCTATTCCGCTGCAGGCCTACGGACCACCAATTAACTACAACTTGCCATCAACCTATTCAGCGCCAAAGGCTCCCGCATATTCAGCACCAGCCGCTCCAAGCTATTCAGCACCAGCCCCACCAAGTTACTCAAGCTATTCAGCGCCTGCTGCTCCGAGTTATTCTGCGCCTGCTGCCCCGAGCTATTCTGCGCCTGCTGCTCCGAGCTATTCAGCACCGGCAGCACCAAGTTACTCAGCACCCGCTGGACCAAGTTACTCAGCACCCAAGGCTCCTGCATATTCAGCTCCTGCTGGTCCAAGCTATTCAGCACCAGCCTCTCCAAGTTACTCAGCACCTGCTTCAAGCTATTCAGCACCCGCAGCTCCAAGTTACTCAGCACCCGCTGGTCCAAGCTATTCAGCACCTGCTCCAAGCTATTCAGCACCAGCTGCACCGAGCTATTCAGCGCCTGCTGCCCCGAGTTATTCTGCGCCTGCTGCCCCGAGTTATTCTGCGCCTGCTGCTCCGAGCTATTCAGCACCCAAGGCTCCTGCATATTCAGCTCCTGCTGGTCCAAGCTATTCAGCACCCGCTGCACCAAGCTACTCAGCACCTGCTTCTCCAAGTTACTCAGCACCCGCTGCTCCGAGCTATTCGGCACCCAAGGCTCCTACATATTCAGCTCCTGCTGGTCCAAGCTATTCAGCACCAGCCTCTCCAAGTTACTCAGCACCTGCTTCTCCAAGCTATTCAGCACCCGCTGCTCCAAGTTACTCAGCACCCGCTGGTCCAAGCTATTCAGCACCTGCTCCAAGCTATTCAGCACCGGCAGCACCAAGTTACTCAGCACCGGCCGCTCCAAGTTATTCGGCACCCAAGGCTCCTACATATTCAGCTCCTGTGGGCCCAAGCTATTCCGCACCCGCTGCACCAAGTTACTCGGCACCTGCTGCACCAAGCTACTCAGCACCCGCTGCTCCGAGCTATTCAGCACCCAAGGCTCCTACATATTCAGCTCCTGCTGCTTCAAGCTATTCAGCACCAGCCTCTCCAAGTTACTCAGCACCTGCTTCAAGCTATTCAGCACCCGCTGCTCCGAGCTATTCGGCACCTAAGGCTCCTGTGTATTCAGCTCCTGCTGCTCATAGTTATTCAGCGCCTGCTGCAACAAGTTATTCAGCACCTAAGGCTCCTGTATATTCAGCTGTTAGCTATTCAGCGCCCAAAGCACCTGTGTATTCAGCGCCAGCTGCCGCGTATTCAGCACCGAAAAGCTCTGGCTATTCCGCGCGTATGTTCAGTCCCATGTTGACATCAACGCATACTACAGGATATGGACACGCATCAGCTGGCTACGGCGGATCTAAAATTGCTGCACCAGCTTGTCCCACCAGCTACCTGTTCAGCTGTAACAGCGTATTCACGCCAGCTCCATGCAATCAAGGCGCGGCATATTAGGTGAAAAACAAATGATAACGAAATAAAACTTTTGACGAAACATAAAATATTTGCTTATTTGATATACTGAGCCGCAAAAGGATTCAAAAGATACAAGGATATGTATCTGATATCGAGAGAGTACTTTCTACAGCAACAGATTACTCTTACGCTCTCGCACTGACTAAACTGCTTTGTGATTGGCCAATAAATAGGCAGAGAGGCCGTTTGGATCAGAGGCTCTCTTTGAAGTGAATTTTACTTTGAGAGCGGAACAAAACAGTAACTGACACCAGTGCACACGTACATACACACAACATGCAAAGTAAATTGCACTAGCTCGCCCGAAGCTCATCTCAGCAGCTTTAGAACAACAACAACAACAACAACAAAAAAGAACGTGACGAAGAAGCAGCAGTCGAAAAAAAAGAAGCAGTTCACTGCTTGCTGTCCCTTTTGTGTTTCGGCCTACGACCTTTGGATCTTGGCTAATGCACTCTCCACTCGCTTATTGTTGTTGTTCCCGAGCTGTTGTTGTTGTGCAAGTCAGTTGTTGTTTTTGCTTTTCATATTGCGTTTACAGACAAACCCAATGCGCCAAAGAACAAGTAAGTAAGACCTTAATAAAAGCTGACAGTGACTTTTCATCTCTTTGACTTATTGCTCAATGACTGCCAGACGTCACCTGCTCTCTTTGCTCAATCATAAAGCACACCCACTGCGCACAGCGTCATTAAGTCTCGTCATGCCTGAGTTGGCGGGGTCAGGTCAGGCAGCCACAGCCACAGCCACAGCCACTCTCCACTGCTATGCTTTGTTCGTGTGCTTATGAAATTGGGAGAGCCACTGCTGATGCAAGAAGTTCTGGCTTCTTTGCATTGTGACGTCACAAACTTTTCAAATGACGCGCGCGTGTAAATGCTGAAAAACAAATGTGTTATTTATAGTTTTGTTAATAAAATGTAATAGGCAATTGCTTGTTTCGAATTGTATGATTAAATGTTCTATAATAATGGTGAATATATAATATATATATTTGTATGCTCCTTTAGAGAAAATGATTATTTGACGAAATTGCATTTCGAAGAAAATTGTAAAGTTATCATTTGTATAAATGGAATTTATCGTGCAAATTGTTTTGATTTCATGCAACGCGCTACGCACAAAGTTCTACTATTGTGACGTCACAATGCACTGAGAACAGAATTCCTTGCATAACCTGTGCCTCTGTCAATCATGGTGTATTGTTTTGATTTTATGCAATGCGCTACGCACTTATTTCTGCTATTGTGACGTCACAATGTGCCAAGAACAGAATTCCTTGCATAACCTGTGGCTCTCCCAAACGTGGTGTAATACGTCGTTGTCATCTCTCTCTCTCTCTTTGTTCGCACTCAGCAGCGTATTCATTGTACAAACGAGCGCAGCACACGACGTAAGGCGACGCTCTTATGTGTGCACGCTATTTGGCTCTCAGTCGCTTGACGAGTTGACGAGCATGCGACATAGAGAAACAACCCCGGCAAAGATGTGTGTGTCTGTGTTGGGTTTCAGTTATTGTACTCTGCTTGAAACGGCTGGTTGTTGCTGCTTCTGTCTGTTGCTTCCATTGTGGAAACTATTTTCAAAAAGAAAAAGAAAAAACAATCCTAATCTAAACAACAACAAGAGTCTGATTTTGGATGGATGTAAAGATGAAAACAGAAACCAAACAAGCGCCGCAGGTTGTGTGGGATGAAGAGAACACAGTGAAACTGATCAAGGCGTATGAGGCACAGAATGTGCTATGGAATCCAGAAAATCGCGGCTTCATGCATCGCAATGCCAGATACGATGCATGGAAGGCGATGGCGAACGTGATGCAAACGAGCGTGGAGGATGTTAAGAGAAAAATGAATTCCTTAATTGCCGTTTTTAGATCGCAGTATCGCAAGGGTGTTGCCAATCCCCGTTGGTGGGCCAGTCACATGTCCTTTCTGCTCAATCCAGGCAAGGCCGACAAAAAAGACTGCCAGCCAAAGGTAAGCGGCGCAACCCACGCCTCCTCCGTTGCCACTTGACATATGTTCTTAAACTAACTCTAAGAGAATCTAACAAATTCAATGAAAGCGACTTATCTTTTTTTTTATAACCATATGAAGAAGTATAACACACACACACACACATATGCATATGTGTACACATGCGGCAGCCGTGCTTAAGAAATGCAAGAGCGAGATAGCGCGCGATGCTGAGAGAGCCGTGAGAGAGCACGGTGAGCGTAAGAGCAGCGTCTGTACAAATGCAAGCTCAGCGCAACTTCAGTACGATCCCATTTTATAGCTGTGTGTGTAAGTGTGTGTTACGTTCATAATGTAAACATGTTATTGCATATGCATACACACATATGTATGTGCATACCCTCGCTCCCTTAAAATCCCATCAAATACGATAATCGCAACTATTGCTAAGTTCTTCTATTGGCCAAGGGATCTGCTCTAATAAATGCGATGTCTCTTCTACGCATTCAAATAAAACTAAATCCTATAAATTGTGATTTGCAGTAATAATTGTAAGTTATAGCTTAACGCTGTGACGATCGCGCATTCGGCTGTCGCACTGAGCGTGAGCGTACTGTAAACCGAGATGTTAGTTGCCGAAAATGTTAATTAGCGTTAATTAGTATGTACATGATAATGTTAAGTGAGCGACCCATCGATATGCATCGCAACAAACTATCGATAAGTTTACACTGCGCTCCACAAAATAAACCCGAGCGGAAATACATGTAGCACCTGAGTGTGTGTGTGTGTGTGTGTGTGCTTCGTTTTGCATGCATCGAGCGCGCTCTAAAGTAAAATGAATGCGATCGTGGAGTTTAAAACTAATCGCCTAGTGGATATTTGTGTGCCCACGTATATTTATGCACATAATCTTATCGGCTTTGCGAATATATGTATACGATATGTACATATACAATCAGTTCGGCGAATTACATTGTACACTGTAAAAAAAATTGGGTTTCCATTTCATTTCATATGTATTTCATTTGAAAGACAAACAAATGCAATTCATAATTAAATCACAAAAAATTCAATTCAAGCCTAAATCATAAAAAATGTATTTGATAATTAAAGCATGCAAAAAGTAATTAAAATTCAATTCATAAAAGAATTTAATTCAAAGAATAATCATACGAAATTTAACTGAAAATTAAATCATACAAAAATTAAATAATAAGTGCATTCAACATTAGCTTAAGTTCTCTCATTGGAAGATTGAAGCTGGAAAATGGGAAATCCCCCGTTTTAATTCAAATGCGATTTACTTGTCTCTTTAGTTCCCGAAGTTTTGTAGACAAAACAGTGTACAGTGTGGCACAAAAGAGTGAGAGCGAGAGAGAGAGAGAGAGAGAGAGAGGGAGAGAGAATTCACTCAACAACTTGTTGTTATTCTTCTTGTCTTTACAGTTGGACTTAAAATCCAGCACTTGCGACAATTCCGAAAATAGCGATAATTCGCTATCGAACGATCTCGACGGCAGCGATAGAGAGTTCATTCTGACCGAGCCAAACAAACGACCCTACCAATCGGCATTCCAAGAGTTTTGCGCCGAATTCGAGCCACCGAAACGTCTGATCATCGTCGAGGAGGGCGCCCGCATCGGCCATGCGATCCAACTGAACACGAATCCGCCAACGAATTTGAATTCGCAAGCGAATCTGAATCCGCCATCGAATTTGAATTCGCAAGCGAATCTGAATTCGCAAGCGAATCTGAATCCGCCATCGAATTTGAATTCGCAAGCGTATCTGAATCCGCCATCGAATTTGAATCCGCATAACGATGATCGACAGCCGTGCGGCGCCGAGAGCCCAACGCGGCCCGATCCCAATTCGGATGACGATGATATCAAGTTATATGCCAAGTATCTGGAGTGTAAGCTGAAGAAGTATTCGTTGCATACGCGCAATGCGATTCAGTTCGAGTTCAATCGCATTCTCTACGAGGCCGATTTGGGTCTGCACGATAAGACAAACGCCTCCAGCCACGCCCCCAACAACACCAACAACATTAGCTTTTCGTGAGTATTTCCCAATAACATATATGCATATAGCTTCGGCCTTAACTGAACAACATTTATCTTTATATATTCCAGATAAGTGAGGCTCGAATTTGTGATTTTGTCGAGAGTTTTCCGCTCTTTTTTTCGTTTGGTATTTTAAACAATTTAATTGAATGTTAGCATATATATTCTATGACTTGCAGATCGGCAAATATATTAACTATATAAACTTACCGAAACACAGAGAAAGTACAAATAGCTGCGACATGCCTTCGATTTGATGCGCTTGTGACATGTGAGCATATAGGAATATATATATGAGAACATTCGCGCGATATGATATCACTTAGAATATGATATATAGTGGGCCGATCCGGCCGTAGAGTCTGCGAGACTAGAACACACCGAGATGTACACAGGTTCGTGTTCTTCAATCGATTTTGATTGATTGATGCTCGAAAAATATAAAACACAATCACAAAATCAAAGCACAAAAATTACTTTTACCAGGTAGGGCTCATAGTTAAGGTCCATGTCCGAAATAGACGCACACAAGATTTATTTTCTTTTTTTTTTTTTTTTTTTTTTTTTGTTTTTCTCTGATCAATTTTATTTTGCAAATTTTCTTATGTTTCGTTTTACTAAGAATTATCACACTAAAAAGCAACTCATAATAAATACGTACAATTATATATACATACATACACACATACATACATACATACATATATGTATATATATATATATGTGTGTGTGTGTGTGTGTGTGTGTTTGTGTGTATATAGGGTGTATATGTGTGTGTAAGTTTTTCCTTGTTTCCTTTTTTTTTTCTTTAATTTTTTGCGTTTACTTTTTATGTTAATTTTCTTTTAATGTTTTTTTTTGTTTTGTTTATTTTACAAATCTTTATGAATATATTGTTTTGTTCATTATTCTCGTTTTGCGGTCTATATATTTCATTAAAAAGCACTTATGTATCCTTAAATATCTATCGTTATGTATATTCCTTGTTCTTATATATATATAGATATATATATATATGTATATATATATTCATATATATGTATATAGCTTGATATATTGTAAGCATAAAGATAAATCATCAAAGTTAAAAAACGATAGTTACTTGTTCTACAATCGAGCGTGTATAGTATATAGTTATCGTTATCGATATAGTTATCGATATCGATATCGTTATCGATAAATGTGTGTGCTTTATTTCATGATTCAATTGGTTTATTTCTCAGTTTTGCATTTACTTCATATAAATCAAGTAATATCTACGCAGAGAAAGTGTCATAAAACTGGTCCATAGATTAAGAGGTATTATCTTAGTGTGTGTGTGTGTGTGTGTGTGTGAGTGTGTCTGTGTGTGTGTTTGTTTTAAAACTATATTGAAAGCACAGTTGTTTTTTTTTGGAAATATATTGTATATTGAGAAAAATAAAAGTAAAATAAATAACCCAATTACACTTCACAATTCTACAAAGTGTACAAAAGGAAGAAACTTATGTGGAAGCTTATCTTTTTATAGAGTTGTTATTCTTTTTACTTTTTTCTGTTTTTTTTTTTTTTCTTTGGTAGACATAATTTTCTTGTGCTCGAACCCGAAATACCAAGCTAGCTGCAGTTAGAGATGCCAGACTATCAAATACCCTGTATGCTGGGAAAGCAGAAAAGTGGAGTCTATCGAATTTTCTCGTTATCGCTTTTCTGCTGGTGCTAAATAGTTTTAATATAAAAGCTTAAAGAAGTTTTCAATGTTTACAATTGGCTTTTTTAATTGTTTCTTTTTTTCGTGCTCTGTAAGGTGTTTTCTTCATAAAAACTTTACGCATCACATGAAGAGCGCAATTTGATCTCTAACAGGAATTCGTATACGTAACGAGAGCAACGACAACGTACAGCAAATTAAATAGACGAGAGAGACAAAGACACGCACGCCTTTCCCTCTCTCTCTCTCTCTCTCTCTCTCTCTACAATTCCAACTGCGCTCACAACGTGCATTTGCAGCGTACGTAAAAAGAAGAACGCACAGCTGAATGAGCGTGCAGCAATTGAGTAGCAGAGAAAGGCACAAGTGCTCTCTCGCTCTCTCTCTCTCTCTTCTAACATTGCGCTCGCATACATGCGTAGATTTGTCGAACTCGAACACAGCTGCTGAACGTGCAGCAAATTATTACAAGAGAGTGGCTCAAATCCTTCCTCTCTCTGTTATTCTTGCTGCAGACAGAGAGAGAGAGAGAGAGAGAGAGACGCAAGAGATGCAATTGGTGCATGCTGTTGTTGCTCTCTTTTCGTTTGGGCGTCTCTCTCTCTCTCTCCCTTGTTGTTGTTCTTTATACGTGTACATTCCCTGCTTTCGTGTAGAACGAGGATTTCGACTTCTCTTTTTCTCTCTTCTACTTGTTCTTATATTAAAATCGTTTAATTGCGATAACCGCTAACACCCGTTTCTAGCATTGCTCGTGTACAGGGTATACAAAACAGGTGATGCCTAAATTAAAACGAGCTACTCTGCTGTTGAAACCGATTTGTTTTATCGTATTTGGTTAACGCTCTTGTATTTGAGGCTGTTGTATTCGTGTCGAATAGGGTTCAAGCTCATCGAGAGTCGTTGAACGGCAGCGGCATTGGCCACGAAACAGCGACACGTCCCCTTCCAACGCGGCCCTCGCTCCCTTCTGCTTTATTCCAAAAAAAAAAAAAAGAAACCAAGTCGAGCATTGGAATTTTCAAATTTGGCATTCAAAATAGCGAAATGCAGTCAGTCAACGGAACAGTACATCTCTCTCTCGCTCTCTCTCTCTCTCGCACTCTCAGTAGCTGCCTCTCTTTCTTGCCTGCCGTTTGTTTACAAATTTGTTGTTGTTGTTTTTCAATCACATTTGACCCCCAAAATGCGACTTGGCCCTGAGCTGGGTCGCAGCAAAAGTTCAGCTAAGCAAATCGCTTCAAAAAAAAGAGTATATATATATATATACAAATGGTAAGTTTGGCAGTTGGATGATCTCATGGTATGTGAAATACAAGGTTGCTCGGAACAAAGATCTTGGAACTATTCCATAAGTTGCTTGAAAAATAAGACTATATATATATATATATATATTATGGTATTACATGGGCTTGGTTTTGGTCTGGGCTGGTTAAATATATATCGATAAATTGCAGTTATTGTTTACTGCGATAATTTATCGACAATCGATAATTTATTTTGGTTTGGTTTTAAAAGAAAATATATCGATTGTGCGATTGCAACAGAAATGTATCGAATTTAATCGATAATCGTTCATCGATGATCGCTTTTGAGAATTTTATGTTTATTTTTTTTTATTTTAAGTCTAATTTGAAAGCTGTTTCCGTTTCTGAGAACCTCAAGTCGATAAAAAGCGATTGGACATTGGGTTCGAGCCGAGTTAAGATCGATGCAAAAACAATATTACGTAGATCAAACGAGAAAAACAAAAAAGAAAAAAGGAAAAAAAAAAAACAAAGTACAAATGTTAAAAATGAAAACGCAAATCAAATGAATTCGATTTTCTATATATTATTATATGCATACATATGTATATATATGTATATATATATATTGATAATATAATTTATTTTTGTAGCTCCGTAACGCTTAGCAGAAATATTAACTAAAGTGGAAATAATTGTCATTAACATAAACATATATGCTATATCATAAACTACATATCTAAAATTTGTCTAGTTAAACACAAAAAAAAAAAAAAATATATGAAAATAATACAAATAAAAAAAAAATAGTAGGGCATAAACAAATGTTGTGTATTCCAGATGGTAACAAGTTAAGGTTTACTTAGGACTATGCGCTTCGATTTTTGCCATATTCATTTCAACTTTTACATATTATTTATTTTTTTTTTTTTGGCAATTTAAACAGTGCTAGAAAATAATATTCATAAATCGTACGATGTATATATATTGTTGTATATATATATATATATATATATATGTAAATGTGTGTGTATGTGTGTGTGTGTGTGTGTATAACTAGGGCCTAGCAAACTGGCTGCTGGAATTGCCGCCGCATTCTTTGGAACGTCGCGCCGCCAAAGTGTTTATAAACAATACAATTAATTTTATATATTAATATATTTACTTGGTAATTGCAACAATTTGCTGTTGTTGTTTGAAGCATTCTTTTTGTTTCTTATATATGTATGTATAAATTTCCTTCTTTTTTTTTCTTAATTCTTTTATATTATTTTTTTTATTTTTTTTTTTTTTGGCTCTGCAACTGAAAATGAAAACAAAACGAAACACACACAAAAAAAAAAAAAACAAAAAAAAAACAGACACAAAAACGAAAGCTAACGGTTTTCAATGCAGAAATGCGAACTAAACTGAATTGTAAGCTGCGAGCGAGTTGCAAAACGCAAAGCACAAGAGAGCACATCTGTCTCTCTCTCTCTCTCTCTCTAGCTTTTAAGCTGCGCTCAACGCTGGCGCCGCGCTCTCGCAGCACTAATACTAAATGCTCTTCATTATCTCAATATGCATGCATGTACACGCACACATATATGCATATATATATGTATGTGTGTGCGTGTGTGTGTGCATGTACGTTATCTACATAGATCGTATGTTTTGTTTTTGTTTTCATTTTTTCTCTTATTTTCGAATAACTCTTAAGCAAAAACTTAAATTTCTATCACAGCCATTTTTATTTTTCGAAGAAAAAAATTGATTCTTTTTGTTGTTTTTGTTTTTGTTTTTTTGTTTTTTTGTTTTTTTGCTTTTTTTTGCTTTTTGTTTGTTTGTTGCTTGCCCAATTACTGTTTAAAAGTTAAATACTTATTTGCTTGCCATTTACTTTTGAATGCACTTTTGATTTGTTTTTTTTTTTTTGTTTTTTTTTTTGTTTTGTTTGTTTTGCTTTTGTTGCGTCAATATTTTAAAAAATTCTAATTGCACTTTTTGTATATTTAAATTGCTATTTAATAATCCATTTCACGTTTTGTTTACAATTTCTTGTTGTTGTTGTTGCTGTTGTTGTTTCTTGTGCACAAAGTTTGTTGTTGTTTTTTGTTTGTTTGTAATTCTTTGAGTTTTAGCAAATTTTAGCAAAATAAAAATAAATATAAAAAAAAAACATTTTTGTTCTCTTTTTTATAAAATGGAAAATGAAACCGTTATCCTGACCATGCCCCCCGCCCAATACACGCACACGCTCCGGCTACAGTGTGACCGTTTGGCAAACAGCCAAAAGCCAGCTCAGTGTGACCAACGTTCTGCCGCTGCTGGCCCTGTTGTCTCCGTCCAGTTCAGTTACCGTTATGTTGTGTGTCGTTTTACCGTTAATCGCTGGCCTGCGCAATTTCGAGTGTTTCTCTGTTGTTTGTGTGTTTTCGAATATGATTTTGAGTGGTTTTGTGAATATTTTGACTGTTTTGAGTGGAATGCATTGGGCTGGACGGCGCAGCAAAATTTTACGCGGCTTTTCGTTCTCTTTCGTGGATTTTTTTTGTGACTAGGAGAACGAATTTTTTTTTTTTTTTTTTTTTTTTTGATTTTTTAAGTATTTTTTTTTTTTGTATAAACAAAGCGCTGTAAAAATAAAAAATAAACGCTAACGAAATTCGTTGCCTGGGTAAAGCGGCAGGAACTATTTCATTATTTTTCCTATTTTTTTTTTTTTTTTGTATTTGAAGCAGTCAATTTTTGCCGGAACTGAAAAAAAATAATTGTGCCTTTGTGGAACCGTTGGGCTGTGCCTGGAAAAATAAACGCACGAATTAATGCTCAGCGAGTATTTGTTCTCGTTCTGAAACGTTGGAATGTGTGTGTGTGTGTGTGAGTGTGTGTGTGTGTGTGTGTGTGTATGGAGCTGAGCATTGAATCGTGTTGCTTATAATTCGCAAGTGGTTTTAGCCCTTAATTGTTTAGTAGCTGGCACAATTGTACTTAAGGAATTTGTTGGTGCTATTCATTTGCTTAGGTTATTATTTTTTGTTTGCGGGCAAAAACTGACGCCTTACCCTAGACCCAACTCTCTCCCTCTCCCTCGCTCTCTCTCTCTGCCTCTCTCTCTTTCTCTGCTCAGCTGTCGTATCACTCAGCTTGTTGAAGATTTGATATTTTCTTTTTTGCTTTTTTGACTACAAATTCTTTGATTTTTGTTGTATGTGTGTGTGTGTGTGTGTGAGTTTGTTTTTTTTTTTTTTGCTCCTTATTCCTGCGACTTAACCTAAAAACAAACAAACTGTCATTTAAACAAAAGTTTGTACAAAATTGCGAGACGTTTTATTGGCAGAGCCCCACAACAGGCCGGTCTGGTGTTGGCCAAGTCAATTATGCTGTAATACTCATAACGACATTCGACAACAATACACCGACACCGACTTGTTGCTGCCCTACCAACACCCCCCCCTCCCACCCCCCTGCCCCCAATCAATCCGTTCGACCGCCTGCCGCCGCATGCCTTGACCCAAACACGTCGTGGCATCGGTTGGCTTAGTTTATAGCTTAATTCAAAGTCTTATGTTTAATTCGGGCTTAACCAAACCTAGAAAAACTCTTTGCTCTTTGTCTTGTCTAATTGTAAATGTAAATGTTTGTTTGTTTGTTTGTTTGTTTGTTTGTTTGTTTGTTTGTGTTTGTTTGCTGGTTTTAGGCCAATTTGTGGTCTCTGTCCCTGTGAATGCGTTCTCATGCATATCAAATTTCTTTTTAGGGGATGCGAGGGGCGAGCCACCTGTGCCCACTAGCCTCCCAACCCCCTCCCCCCCTCCCCCCTCTCCCTTCTTATGTGTAACGCATTACTGATACTTTCATGTCTCCAGCGAGGTGACAACCAGATTGTGAAAGACGCTCGCCGATTCGCTCATCATGGCCGCCTGGCCGCACGAATCGCTGCCGCTGCTGGGCGGGGTCGGTGTGCCCAGACGCAGTGCATCCATGATCACCTCGAAATCCTTTTGATTCTGATTCATATCAAAATCGACCAGCTCCAAGTGATCAGCTGTGCTGATGCTGCTGTTGCTGCTGTTGCTCAGCTTGATCCGTTTGCTGTTGCTGTTGCAGCTCTGCTGCTGCTGCTCGCCGAGACCCACAACATCCAATGGACAATCCTCGATGGCCGATATGAGACGCTGCGGCGGTATATAGAACTGTGAGAGCGCCTCGCGCACCAACCGATCGCTCTCGTCCTCGCTGTTGCTGCGCAAACGCTTCCTTGACGCCGACAGAGCTGCTCGCTCCAGCTGTTCGGCACCTTGTGTTATCTCCGGATCGATAAGCGGCATCGGTGCATTTATTGCGCTCAGCTCACGATCTAATATCTCCAGATCGTTAACCAGATTACTGTTGGACAATTGACGTTTGCGTGCCGCCACAGCGGCGGCTGCGGCCGCGGCTGCGGCAGAAACGGGCACAATCGAGGCGTTGGAGGAGGAGGCGGAGCAGGAGGAGGAGGAGGAGGAGAAGGAGGAGGAGCTGGATATCATGCTGTTCCCGTTGCCATGTGAATTGGCCGTGGCACCGCCGTGACGCATCAGCTGCGCCGATTGATGGTTCTCAATCGAGCAAATTGTGCGTGCCCCGTTGACATCGCCGTACGTTGATTTGTTGTTGTTGTTGTTGTTGTTGTTGTTGTTGTTGTTGTTGTTGTTGAGCGGCTTTGCATCGTCCATGTTCGGCTGGAAGAGGTTCTCACGCGCCAATTCCGTGCTGCTGTTTTCGGTTCTGTGAGAGAGCCAGAGAGAGAGAGAGAGAGAGAGAGGGAGAGAGAGAGAAAGTGATGGGGGAAAGTTAGTTGAGTTTTGTGAAAAGGCATTGGCAAAACGGTTTATAAGGTAAATACGAGAAAAACCTGTGCGACAATCAGACGCACACATGCGACACACACGTGTGTGTGTGTGTGTGTGTGTGTGTAAAAGTGCGTAATTAGTTAACGATTACAAGCATCGATAACTTTCGTTGCAATAGCAAATCTTAATATCGATCACACTTAATACACTTATCGATAACACACTTTCATCGTCTATCGATAATACTATTTTCATAATCGATAGATAAGTTGATTGGTAACATCATCAATATTACATTTCGATAACACGCCCCGTGTTTATCGATAACACATTCTCATCAACTATCGATATTACCATTTTCATAATTTATCGATAAATACATGAGTAAATGTTTCAAGTCAAACTCTTTATTTCGATACGAGCTGCATTTCGATAACATTGCGATAATCTATCGAGCTGATAATCGCTCGGCTATCGATAACTTTTTTTCTTATTACCAAATCAATCGAGAAATAACCGAACTTGCTGCAATATGCACTATCGATAAACACACAAGCCTTGTCTATCGCGAACACATAGACTATCGAAATATAGGCGTGGCAATTAAGGGCGTTTATCGCCTATCGATGACTCATCGCCAGCAAACAGCAAAGGCTCTTTCAAAGCCAAAAATTGTTAAAGGAAGATGAAAAATAAAAACACACCCTGCCCCATATATTACATGCGCCACCACGCTGCTGCCCCCCCGCTGAAAGTCAACAGTGTCAAACAGTGTGCGTGTGTGTGTGTGTGTGCGTATCGATGTCAGTTTTGCAGGCCAGTATGCTGTTCGTCCGTGGGCCGCACTTTAATTAACTGGGCCAACTGAGCGCCGCTTGTAGCCAGTTAAAACAGGCAACAGACGCGGGGCGAGTAGATAAATTTCAGCTAATTTCTCTTTCAATAAAAGCGCTTGACACGCCCCCAACCCCCTACCCAACCCACCAACATTTTGCCATACACACAGTGCCAATATGCCAAAAGCATTTGAAGAAGCAACAAAAACAAAATACAAATGTGACAAAGAAAAAAAATAAAAGAGAAGAAGAGTGGAACGACGGCAACGCATTAAAATGCGCAGCTCAGCATGTCAATGCTCACTATTAAAGCTGAAAAGAGCAACAAACAAACACACGCATGCACACACATGCACACGAAGCTCAACGCACGCACACACACATGCACGCACTCAATAACGGACAAGAATGGCACGAGCAAGGTGCATGGCTGCAGGGGGCGGGAGGAGGAGGGGGGGGTAAGCTTGACGGAATTGGCGACGCAAGAGGCGAGCGCGAAAAAAAAAAATGAAAGCGAAAGTACATTGTACGTAGGAATCTGTACAAAAACGAAATAAAATAAATACAAATACAAGACAAAGCACGACTAGCAGATGCCCTTGAATGTGAAATATATATGTATATACTTGTAGTACATATATATTTAATTAATAAATTTATTTTTCTCGATTTACTTCATGATTTAATTTAATGGAAAATATTTTGTTTACATTTTTTACATTTTGTCTACATGCAATAATTAACAACACACATTATTGTTATATGCCCTTTGCTTTTATTCTAGGGTATTTAAACATAAAACTAAACAGCGAAGCGCTGAAGAAGCAGCGCTAACAAATCGCTCGCTCCAGAGCTTTATAGAAACCAAAACCAAAACCAAAACCAGAAAGCGTACAGCAACAACTCAACGTAACAAAGTCAAAGAGAGCGCGCGGGTTAGGAAGCAAAGCAGTCAAAAAATAAAAGAGACGAAGAAGAAGCAGAAGGAGAAAAAGTATATTAGTTTAGTTGTTGCTATTATTGCCTGTTGACTGTTGACTGTGTTGCGCGCAGCACCGTTAACTTGAAATGTTTTGGAAGGGTAAAGAGAAACAGGCAGGCGCGCGCTAAGCAAAGGGAAGAGGTTTGGGGGGAGGGGGGGGGATTGCTTTTCGCTTGGTAGAAATGGGAGCAACGACAGCGAATCAGCAGTCGAAAGGGTAAGCGGCAAAAGCAGCGGCTCACTGACCAAAAATAAGTTGCCAACAGCAGATGCAGAGCAAAAGGCACAGCAGAGCGTAGTAAATGCAGCAGAAGCAGCAGCAGCAGCAGCAGCAGCAGCAATGATTGCACAAGTGACCCCAAAATAAAAGTTGCCAACTGCAGTTGTCTGCGGGGGTGTTGGCAAGGGGAGATTTGAATGCTCTGCGCTGTCATGCTCAAGTGCTTTATCCATCATATTATGTAAATGTTCATATTTAAGAGAGCATGATGAAGAAAGACTGAGAGTGAGAGAGAGAGAGAGAGTCAGATCTATGCCCATTCAATGTCTGCCAGCTGCCAAAGAAGCTTTCAATTTGGAACAAATCAACGCTTTGGCGCTGCGACGGATCACATCATACATACATACATACATACATACATATAACACATCAAAGCGCGCTCAAGCTTTACACTCGACTGCGTTTTCGAGTTCTTCTTTGACAGCAATTAATAGTAATAAAGCTTTTATCAATGCTTTGGGATGCCGCCGTTGACATTGAGTAGGTAAAAAGCCTCAGCAGCAGCAGCAGCAGCAGTCACATACATACAAAGAGTGCGACAGTGAGAGCGTGCGCTCAATCGCAAGTGTAAAGGCGTCAGTGTGTGTGTGCGTGTGTGTATGCGTGCGTGTATGCGTGCGTGTATGCGTTTGCATGGCATGCGACCGATAAGCAAACGGTATTGTCCACTCTGCTTCAATAGCAAACTGACTGACGAGCGCGATTGGAAGGGGGGGAGCTTTGCTTATTACTTGTTGTTGGTTTTTTTTTTTGTTTTTTTGTCTTTTGTCTTATCTGTGTTTTCGTTTTGCGCACGTTTTCTCGTTGGTCTGTGGCGAAATATGCCGCTGTCTCTGTGTGTGTGTGTGTATTTATGTGTATGTTTTGAGCAGAGGTAGGAGAGGGGGGGGGGAACATTTGTACACGCAGGCCAACGCACACAATTCTTATGAAAATTGGGGCACCTGTTTGTGCCCGCACCTCGTCCGCCCCCTCCTACCCACGTCATATTACGGCGTTCTGCTTTTGTGGTTTTTCGAGTTCAAGGCTATTAACTGGCATATTTATAAATTATCCATCATTAGCTATGGAAAGCGCGATGCGATCCTTAACAAAAGAACGTATTAGGCGAATGTAATGAAACAAGTGTGCAGAGTTAAAGAGACTGGCAAATACCCTGCAATTAGCAATGATTTTTATTTAGGGCATATAAAAATGTTATCTAAAAATCCCGTTAAATTTCAAAGTCCAATACACATACATACATAGATACGAGAAGAGTTGGAGGTAAATAGAGACGGACAAGTTATCGAATCAAAGGAAACTGGTTCGTTCTGCAGACAGACGAATTATACATACATACGTTACATATGTATCTACATACATGCAAACACACATACAATAATACATACATACATATGTGCAAACATTCATACATGCACAAATACTTGCTTAAAGGCATCGAAAACGTCTCCATCTGCCTCTTACATAGATATATGTGTATGTGTGTGTGCGTGTGCATACATGTACATTTGCACAACTCAATTATGCACTCTGCTTCTTTTTTCAGCTATTTTTAATGAGTACAGGGTATAAAAATGAACAAGTGGAGCAGCAGCAGCAGCAGCGTAGTCTAAAAACGTTAAATAAAAAATGTCACACAATCGAACGGCAAGTGCAAAAAAAAAAAAGAAAAAAAAAGAAAGAAAATAAAAGAGGAACACCGCGACGACAACGTAGCAGAGGCGCAAACGGTGTGACAAGAAGAGCGGAAAGAGACGGGCGAGAGGCGGCAGGCAGGCGGCGCAAAGTCGCAAATGTAGGACGACGACGGCGCGCGCTCTTTGGCGCGCTGTAGGGGTCGGTCGCAGCGAACCGCAGGAGGCGGCGTATGTCAGCGACAACTTCATTTGATGCCAAAGGGCAACGATAACCAAACCCCCCACCCCCACCAGCCAGCTGCCATGCAGCCATTCCAACCAAAATATTCTCTTTAACCACACTTTACTGTTGCTCCGTTTCGCTTCGCGTGATATGCTGGCCGGCCATGCAAATTGAATTTAAAGCGATTTTAAAGAGCGAATTCGCTGCGTTCAACTTGGGAGTAGATTTCGCTGCTAGTCTCTCTCGCGCTCGCTCTCGCTCTCACTCTTACTCTCACTATAACTCTATCCCTCTCCCTTGTGCACTTTGTACGTTATTGCTTATCAGCCATTAACTGTTAATATGTTTCAATAAGCGCGCGTGTGTCTGTGTGTGTGTTTGTGTACACTGATAAGCAATTACAAAAAATAGCAACAACTATGCAAAAATGCTAAGCGCGCGCGTGTCGTCAGTTATAAAGAAAAACCTAAGATTGTTACATACCCATATTAATGCATTAATTGCGTGAACTTTACAAAATTCCAACCACAAAGATGAAAACTGGGCGAAAGGGTAAAACATTTATATTTATACTTATAATTGAATAACGGAAAATATGTGAACGCTTGACCATAGCCGGACATAATACATATATGCACACACACACACACACACACGCCAATTGTGTCCATATTTAAGCACTCTTCAATCAGGCACAGAGCCCCCTCGCAACCCATTCGCGCACAATTCTAATTGTATAATCTAATTGTTCTAGAATCTAGATGCTTTAAATGCGCGCCCAGACACAAACACATACATATGCAAATGGCATACACCCCCGCCCCCACGCTTGACTGACCGACCGTCTGTGTGCGTGCGTCAGTCTCCGTCTGTCTGTCTCTCTCTGTGTGTGTGTGTGTGTGTGTGTAAAGTAGGCAATCGCAGCTTGTGGTGCAATCGTTACCGAATAAATGAGATGCTCAACAAAAGCAGACGCCAAAGCCAAAGCCAAAGCAGCCACAGCAACAACAACAACAGACGCCATAGAAACAACAACACAACAACAGATAATATTATGGCAGAAAAACGTCATCGCAGTCGCGAATTATTACGACGCCGCAAAATGGGGCGGTGGGTTACAAAATGTGTGCAAAGAGCAAAGTGAACAAACGAACGCAAAAATGAGAAGGAGCGCGGCGAACGCGGCTCTAGCACGCTCGCTCACTCTCTCACCCTCTCTCTACTTCTGTGTGCGTGTGTGTATGCATACATGCCTGTGTGCGAGTGAATGCGTTTTGTTTTGTATTACGGTACAAGGGGGAGTATTTAACGTAAGATGCGGTAAGCATTGGAAATATTCGTTAAAATAGCAACAAAAATATACAATGTATAAAAATAGCGATTGGATAACAGATTCAAATCGATAACAGAGTGCTGCTGCTAAAACGGCAAGGTACAAGGTATGTATGTATGTATGTTACACAGCAATGTTAATAATGTAAAGTGCATAATATATATATGTATACGCATAAACATACATACATACGCTTGCACTACGAACGTATTGCATACATACGTGAATGCATTTTGTCATTTTCTTTTATAAATTTCTCCGATATGCATTACACGCCTGCTTTTTTCTCTCACTTTTAATTAAATTATCGATTGCTGCTGCTGCTGCTGCTTGGCAACTTCAAAGTAATAAGCACATAGGCATGCATTTCATATATGTATGTATGTATGTAACAACATGCATAAACAGACTTACACACATACATACATACATATATGTGCAAGCGTCTCGCTGGAGAAAACATGTCAAACAAAGCAAAACGAAGCAAAAACGGAAACGCAGCACACGAAACGGCAGCAAAAGCAGCGCCAACAATGACGCCGACGTCGCGTCAGCAGCAGCAGCAGCGACAGCGACCAACTCTATGCCAAGAAGAAGCGAATCAAAAGCCAAAAGGAAAAACTGCGATTGCGTTGAATTAAGTTTTTGACTGCGCGCAAAAAAGAAAAAAAAAAACAGAAACAACTAAATAAGAAGAGCTTCAATTGTACGTGCGTGTGTGTGTGTGTGTGTAGTAACGGCATTTTATTTGTTTTCTCTCCTTGCAGGCGCGCGCTGAAGCAAGTGAAACAAAGAGGAAGCGCAATAGGAACAGCGACGTCGACGTCGACGCCGACAGCAAAAAGAAAGCCAAAGCGCCGCAATGTCCATCGCGCTAGATGTTGATGATAGATGACAGCAGTTGGGGTGCGGGTGCGCGCGATATTAAACGAGGGCGGGTTGCGGCGGCGGGTTCGGCAAGTCGAAGTGAAGTCGGTACGCCGTAATCTTGACACGCGTCCGTAGGCAAAAGCCAATATTAAATACAACGTAACTATGTTAACAGTAAGGCAAATGGCAAAGCCAGTGAAAAAATACAATTAGACTCTGCAAGAGCAACACACAAAAACCAAAGCGAAATACACGAAAAAAAAAAAAAAAAAAACACAGCACGGCAACACTGGGCCAAACTGTTTAACGGCAAACACCAGCGGCGACAGCAGCAACAGCAGCAGCAGCGGCAATGAGAAGGAAGAGAGAAAAAACAACATACATATGTATATGTAAAAGCTCAGCTGGATTAAATACACTTGCAGAGCGAATCAAGCAAAGCTGCTTAATGGTAAGGCATACAATTTATTTTTAAATAACAGTAATGAGCATAATTAAATTCTATGAATGTGTGTGTGCGTGTGTAATCGTAGTTCAACCGACCCAAAGAGAATGATTCGTCTATAACGTGAAACTCTTATCGATATGCATTTTAGAAGCATATTCAATGGCAGGCACGGCTACACATACATACAAACATACATACATGGAAGCACAACAGTCATGCCGTCTGTTAACGCAGGGCACGCAGTTTTGCTGCTGTTGTTGTTGTTGTTGTAGCAGTGATGCTTGCTGCGAGAGCGTAGCGCGCCAAAGAGCATAAAATAAATGCAGCGACAGCAGCAGCAGCAACAACAATAAGAACATACACACACACACACACACACACACACACACATAGCTCGTAATGATCTGCAAAAACGCAATTTCCAATTGCGCTCGAATATAATTGACAACTATTTCAAGATCAGCAGAAAATGCCATCATTTTTTTTTTAGCTTCTTGTTGTTTTTTTTTGCTCTTTCTTTAAGTTTTAGTTTTCATCTGCAGCTGAATTTCTCTAGTAATTGCATTTTGTGTGTGTGTGTGTGTGTGTGTGTTTGTTAAAAGGTTTAATAACTCTTTGACTCTGTTTGGGTATAAATAATAACACGCACGCATACATATATACGACATGCTAATGTCGCTGTGTTCGTGTGCGTGCGCGCGCCTGTGTGTGTGTGTGTGTGTGTGTGTGTGTTTGCAAAGTCTGAAGGTTTTGGTTGCGTTTTGTGCTGCCTGCTGCTGCTGCTGCTGTTGCTATTGTTGTTGTTGTTGGCATGTGCTGGCTGCGGCTTGTGGTATTGCATGTGTGTGTGTGTGTGTGTGTATACATATATATATTTATGTGTAGCTTGTGGCATGTGTATATGTAGCGTCTAGAGGTGCAACAACAACAACGTTTCTTGCTATCATCGCTGCTGCTGTTGCTGTTGTTGTTGTTGTTGTTGTTGCTGCTGCTGCTGTTATGGTTGCTTTTTGTTGCAAGTGGAACGTGATTATTTCAACGAGCGCAACGTTTTTTAGCACACACATACACACACAGCTATGCACTGCTTGTGTGCTTGTGTGTGTGTGTGTGTGTGTGTTTCTACAGCTCGCTTTGATTTCTTTTGGTTTTTTGTTACTGCTGCTGCTGCTGCTGCTGCTGGCAGTAAATCGCGCTATCTGCGAAGGTTGTTTCCCACTGAATTTGCTGCTGCTGCTGCCTTTTAAACATTTCTCATTTTACGTTTCGTTTTTTAATGCGCTGCTGCCTTCTGATTTGCTTGCACTGAGATTGACAGCAATAACTTGATTATTGACTATCGTGCGTATGCGATAATTGCGATCAATTTATGTGCCCAATTTCTGTTTCTCTTTCTTTTCGTTATCGCATCTCAGCTGCGCCCGCGTGTGTCTGTGTGTGTGTGTGTGTGTGTGTGTGTGTGTGTGTGTGTGTGTGTTGGGTTGGACAAAAGCCCGTTATATATATTTGAAAATTGTGAAATAGGTTAAAATTATGTGTTAATGTTGCAGCTATTTAAGAGGTATCTTTTAGTCGTGCACATTCGACTAGCTGCTTATGTGAGTCTCTTAGAGCTGGTTATAGAGGGTATCTTTTAGTCGTGCACATTCGACTAGCTGCTTATTTGAGTCTCTTGCAGCTGCTTAGAGGGTATCTTTTAGTCGTGCACATTCGATTAGCTGCCTATGTTAGTCTCTTGCAGCTGCTTAGAGGGTATCTTTTAGTCGTTCACATTCGACTCGAGCACTCTGGCTGCCGCTGCTACATACACACGCCCTGCCCTTCTTTACGGCAACAGACGAACGAACGAACAGAGAGACAGACAGACAGACAGATCGACCGACAGACAGACAGACAGACAATTTTAGTTGACTCGCCTGCTGCTGGCTGCGTGTTATTTTCTCTCTCTCTCTCTCTCTCTTGCTCGCTCTCGCTCTTTCCTTTTCTAGTTGCTGCCTTCGCTGCGCCGCCGTCTTTCGTTTCGTTTCGTTTTGTATGTTGTGTGTCGTTTCTGTTTCTGTTTCTGTTTGAACTGTTTGCCGTTGTTGTTGCCGTTGTTGTTTTTGTTGTTGTTTAATGTCTCTTGAGTATCTGCTTTGCGCGTGGCCTGAATGCAACAAAAAAAAAAAAACTATAAAGAAATACTGTGCACGTTCGCTATAATGAACTAATTGTAGTCAAGCTGGCAAACCCCCCCCCCCCCCCTTACCCACGACCAACCTACAGCCTGCTTTCACACAAGAGCGAAAGAAAATACGCTTAGAGAAATTGGCGTTGGCGAAGATTGAGCGTTCATTTTAACGATTGACCACTGTACATGTGCAGCGCTGAGGAGGCGTTTGCCAGTTGACCGCAGCCCAGCTCAAAACGGAAATATCCTTAAGCGCGCGTCCAGTTACACGCAGCACAAACAAAACCGAACGAAATACATGTGCGAGCGTTGCCACGTAGTCAAAATTAAATAATAGCCACTGTTAAACTTAACAGCATTTGCATTTGCATTGATCTGATCTGTTGGCCTTTTTTCGCTCTTTCGTTTTTTTTTTTTTTTTGTCTCAATTTGCGCATTTCTCAAACCACTTTTCATATACATATTTTCTCTGCTTAGCTTAAAATAGCTGCATGCGCATTTACATCGTTTATATTTATAGCATATTTCGTCTATTTTAAGTGACAGCATCAATTCACCCTCTCTCTCTCCCCCCTCTCTCGCTCTTGGTACACACACGCACTTTGGCCTTTCGCAAACTGCGAAGGTTGCACACGCTCACACACAAACTTTAAAGGGCAATCGTATGAGCAAACGCGTGGGTCTATGCTGCCCCCCGCTAACATGTCAATTTAGCCTTTTTTCAATTGCGTCTATAGCAAAAAAAAAAAAGCTCAAGATATTTATGGACACATTTTAGGTGATTGGAGGGGGGAGGGGGGAGGTTGGCACACCGTTTAAGTCAGCTTAAAAATATTGCCCTGTACTAAAATAGGGTATTGCGCAGTCGGCACTCTCTTTCAGCGAGCCATATTTTCCCCGGCTAGTTTTAGCCGTTTTTTTTTTGTTGTTGTTGTTGCTTTTAGTTTGTCAAAAGCTGGCAACACTGGCACGTTCTTTTAGCTTAGCATATATGCATGTGTGCGCAATTGTGTGTGTGTGTGTGTGGTTTCCTCTGCTTCTTATTCTTTGTTTTACTTACTTTGGCAAATTCTGGAGGTAACGCATTTGCTTCTCGCGCCGCAGCTCATCGGTGAGTCGGCAATAGGTGTTATTGATGCAAACGCTGCGCCGCAAGTTCGCCTCCGAGTCCTTGATGCGCTCCAGCTTGTGGGCGCACAGCTGCAGGATGCGTTTGCGCTCCTCGCGCTGACGCAGCTTGGGCGAGATCATTGGCACGCGCGACCGATGATGATGATAGCCAATTGGCGGCGAGCAGCGCGGCGGTCCAAACATGTCCGAGTCATCATCGCTGCCGTTCGCTGCGTTTGTATTTGTGGGCAAGGTCATTGTGCGATGTGCCTGTGTCTGTGTGTGTGTCTGTGTCTGCGTGTGTGTGTGTGTGTGCGTGCGCGACTGCGTTTGCAAGTGTGTGCGTCTGAAACGCATTCAAAGCTCTGCTGTGGACTCTTTCAAGTCTCTCTTTCTCTCTTCTTCTTTTAACTTTTGCTGTTGCTGCTGCTGCTTCTTCTTGTTTAGTTGTTGTTGTTGTAGCTGCTGCTGCTGCTTCTTCCCACTGCACACAAGGTAAACCACAAATCGTTCATATGCCGCGTCACAGTGTCTGTTTATTTTTGTTTGTATTTTTTATTTGTTTTTATATTGTTTTTCACTTTTTAAAATTTTATTTTATTTTTATTTTTTTTTTTTTTAATGTTTTTAGTTTAATGTTCTCTCTCTCAGTAAAATGTCTTGGTGCGTGTTTTTTAAGAGCACACTTTGTTTTTAGAAAATTTTTGGATTCGACAGGAAGCAACTTTTTTTTTGTGTTTTTTTTTGTTTTTTTGCAATTACAACACGCGCGCGTCTGTGCGTGCGTGCGTGTGTATGTGTGCGTGTGTCTGGTCTTGACTCGACACGCTGCGTGCTGCGCTGCCGCTGCGTGAGATTTCACTTTGCTTTTGCTGTTTGATTGTAATGTGTATGTGTGTGTGTGTGTGTGTGTGGCCCGTTATGTTTCGTTAATTTTGCATTAATACGCACACTTTTTGTCTTTTACCGCATTTGTATTTACCTCCAAATTCAAAATAATCCAGGACTTTTGAATTTCTGCGAGGAAACAGAACCCAAACAAAAATGCAAAAAAAAAATCACACACACAAACAAATGTATATATATATATATATGTGTGTTTATAACTGTTCAGTTAGGCACACAATTGACAATTGCAATTCAAGTTGGCAGCCTTTCTTTTTGACTTAAATATGTTTAGTATTTTTTTGTTGTTGCTTGTAATATATATATATATATATTTTTTTTTGGTTTTTTATTGTTCATTTATTTAACGCGCGGCGTCTTCAGGCGGTGGGCAGTGCAAGTGCAGTTTTTGTTGGAGGGCTTAAAGGGGGCGCGGGCCAAATGAAGGGGTACGACAATAGCCGACGTACACAAAGTCAAGGGGGAAGAGGCACAAAAGTCTTTTTACTAATTGCTTGATTTGTTGTTTTAATTAAGTTTTTTTATTATTATTATTATTATTTTTTTTTTTTTGGGGAAATTGTAGGCGCCTGTTGAGGTTGCTGTTGATTGTGAGCGAGAGTGAGAGAGACAGCGCGGAACGTGTAAGTTGGGGAGCGCGTGGTTTTTTGTTGTTGCGTTACTTGTGTTGTTATTAGGCCGAACTTTGCCGCTGCCGCTTGCACGTCCGCACAGTTCTCGCGTTCGATGTGAACTGAAAATTGAATGAATGAAGCGCACGGGCTTTAGCTGGCTGGCATCAGGCGGCAGAGGCATACATAGGCAGCGGCCGTAGCAGCGGCCGTAGCAGCGGCAGCGACAGCAGCAGCAGCAGCAACAACAACAACAGCAACGGCGTCGAACGTTTTGTTTGCCTGGCAGCAACGTCGTTGTCGTCGGCAGCGCGCACAGATGTTCAACCAAGTTCGGTTCGGCCGCTGCCGGCATCGCTGCCGAACGTACAAACGGAAGTAACAGCCAGCAGAGACGTCGTCGGCTAACCTAAGCTGAGCAGAGCAGAAGCGCCACAAGCTAAAGAGCGCAAAGAGAGCCTTGATATACAACATAAAGAGCGCATTGCATGGCGTACGTGCGTGTTGTGCTCTATTTGTTGAGTCTGTATGTGTGCGAATGTTTGTGTGTGATATGCAAGATTTTGGCACTGTATGCAAGTGTGCGTGCATGCGTGTGTGTGTGTGTATTGTATGTAATGTGTGGGGCATTTTCTTAGCGTGTTTTGTTGTTTGTCTGCTGCTGCTGCCATTTGTAACGGAAGCGAAACGCAAACACACGCGCCGCCAGCTCCAACAGAGCAAAGGGCGGGCGGGCAGCAGCGGCGGATAGTTGGCAAAAAAAAAAAAATAATAATGTTCATAAATTGAGAGCCTCTTGTTGTCTTGCTGCCGCCTGTCGCGCTGCTTCGGCAGCTTGGCACGCGCTGCGAACAGCGAGCATAACTTTTATAGTTTTTATCTTAACACATACATACATACACATACACATACACACGCAGCACATGAATGCACTTGTATTGGTATTGTTGTTTTTATTATGTAAAAAGTAAGTGGCCTTAAGCGACAGCGCCACACGACCGTTAGTGGCAGCATTTATTAAGCTGCCAGTTTGCCCCATAACAAATGGCGGCCATTGGCGCTGCCGCTGCTGCTCGGCGCCTCTATCAATATTTTTATTTTGGCAAATGCAAATGCTGACAAACAATTCCCACTATGCAATTGCATGCAATCACATGTGTGCGTGTGTGTGTGTGTGTGTGTGAGTGTAAAAGCTTGAGGTCACTTTTGGCACTCTCTTAAGTTATGCCTGTGCATGCATTTATTGTCTAGGCCAACCATGCAAACAGCGTTAAGAGTTTTCTTGCAAGCACACACATACATATGTATGTATACTGAAAGAGAGCGTCGTGTTGATCAACATATGATTGTAAGAGAGTGTGTGTGTTGGTGTTTGCTTGTTATTAATTGCCGCAGCGCTGGCTTCCAATTCCTTGGAACATTTACGAAAAAGGAAAAAAAAAAGAAAAAAGAAACAGAATAAAAAAATGGAATCTAGCGATAAACAATGCAAAATACAATACAATTTTCTTGCTAAACGTCATGACTCAAAACTGTTTATATACACATTTAACTGTGAACTGAGTGTGGGTAGCGATAGAAGAAGAAGCAGCAGCAGCAGCAGCAGAATAACTGTTCGCTGGCCAACAGCTCATGCCGTATCCCAAAGAGCAAAAATAAAAGCAACACATTTATATGAATATATATGTGCATATGTACTTATTTAAACTAGAAGGCTTACCTTTGGCGCACATTAAAATAAAATACAAACAAGAAGAAGAAGAAGAAGAAGCAGAAAAAACGTAACTAACCTCATTTCGTTGTTATTGTGACGAGGAACTGTGGCTACAGCGAGAATAAGAGAAAAAGATGTACATATGGCAATTGTTTTTTTTTTTTTTTTTTGTTTTCATCGACCTTGCAGGCGTGTGTACTTATTATCTACATAGCTCAGACTTTTACTTGTTATGCACACACACACACACACACACACATGAACATGCATACATATTAATATAACTGTTTATTTGCGAAAGTAATCATCACTGGAACGCGACAAATGCCGCTGAACTTATTCGTTATTGGTTCAATGTCACACACACACACACACACACACACGCATACACGCGTGCGTATCCTTTTTGCATTGCATTGACCTTTCGTGGCCTTCGCAATTGCCCCTGGCCCCATTGGCCAGACGCACGCTACCCGTCTCCCTCTCACCGTCTTCTTTAAAGTCGCATTTAACGTTTTTGTTTCGTAGGCAGGTATGCAGGTCGCTGCAAGATAAATTCAAATTACGTAATGAAGATGGCATAACAATTGAGTATTTATTGCGTTCAATTCGCTGCACGATAAGCCCAAAATAGAAACAACAAAAACATACATATATGTACATATATGTATATATTTAACGCACCCATACATGCATGCATGTATGCCACACACAGACACCGTTGACGCACGGCGAGCTGCCAGCAGCAGTGGCAGCGATTACCTGCTGTGACTGAGCCAAATCAGCGCGCTTTATTTCAAGATGGAGTTTCGTTTTATTTTTTTTTCTTAATTTTTATTGCTTTACTTTTTTTTTTTTTTTTTTTTTTTGTTATTGCTGTGTACGTTCTTTGACGCACGATTAGCTGGGGCGGGTAGGCATGGCTGGCTTCAGCTTTAACAGGTACCGTGAATTTAAGCTACAGCAAGCGCGCACACACGCACACAGAAGGTGCCGAAACGAAATCGAAAACTGCCCACTGCCAGCGCAAAAACAAACACAGCAACAACAACAAGAAGAAGAACAGCAACAGCGACAGCGACGCCAGCGTCAACGCATATGCAGCAGCCGACGCTGTCGCGACGTCTGCATTTCACACACAATTCGCTAGAGTCGCGCTAAAGCCAAACAAAAGCACAAATCCCAAAGGCAGACGTGCCGCCCCCATAGACTAGTAGGAGCTGTTTTCCACACACACACAGATGCACACATGCACACACACGTATCGCAGCCGCAGCAACAATTTAATTATCAATAACATATTTAAAATTCGTTTGCCTCTTACGCCCCGCCAGCGCCGCTAGCTCATTGCGTGTTTTTTTTTTTTTTTTGTATTTTGTATTTTGTTTTTTGTATTTGCGAGCACGCTCTCTTTAGCTGCTTGCTGTACGCTCTTTGCATTTACCCAGCGGAGACACAGTGGAAAAAAATGATGCTAAAATCTATCAGCTGCCTTAATAGCCTTTATTTATACGTTATATTTATTAAACATGTGTGTTATTATTCATTTCAAAATCCATTTTGTTACACGAGCTCGTGTAAGAACTTAAATTATAGCCGACAGCAACCCCGTGAACTATGCCCATGCTACCTAAATGATCTATCTGTCTGTTTGTATCATTAACATTCCATACAAACCGTCCCACTGTGCGTCGTGTGAATGAACGTATAAAAAGTGAGAGCGCGTTGCCGTTGACGTTGACGTTGACGTCGCCGTCGCCGTCGCGCTCATAAACGAAAATCAATGACTCCCAATGCGCGCCGACGACTGTTGAGCGTCGTCTGCCCCGCAACGTCGCACCATACTCCTTTGCTCCATACACTTTACATTGGGTAGCTCTATTGTTTGTTGTTGCGGTGGCTTCTTCCTTCGTTCTTCATGTTGTTGGCGGCCAAAGCAGCGCAGTGATAAATGCGTCAGCGTCAGCAGTTTTGGCTGCGAGGCATGTGATTGTTTGTGTGTCCCTGTGTGTGTGTGTGTATGTGTGTGTGTGTGTGTGTCCTGTTCTTGTTGGCTTTGTGCATTAAAAATGACTCGTGTTTGGAGCATTGTTGAATTGACTCTAAGTATTTAAAGTCGATGCTGATGCTATTGCGCGCGCACACATACACACACACACACACACACACACACAAGCAGAGGACTGGCCAGTTTTCGTTATTGTTGCTGCCGCTGCCGCTGTTGCCATTTTACAACGTCTGCGGGCGCTGCTGCCGTTGGCGTAGACGCTGCCAGCGTCGCTGTCGTCGTTGTCGTCGTTGTCGTCGTTGTCATCGTCGTCATCGTCGTTGTTGTTGCTTTTAACAGTGTGCCCTTCACAAAAAGTGGTCGCTGTTGTTGTTGTTGTTGCTGTTGTTTGTATGTTTGCCTACATTTGCCAACATACATATGTATGCACATAATGGCATGCAAGATTGTGTTTGTGTGTATTATACATAAATTTGGTCATGTTTGCAATACACAGAATCTATTGCAAAGCCAAAAGGCACGAGCAAAAGGGTAACGTAACGGTAATGCGACCAACGGAACGGCCGGCGAAAGCATATTCCCATGCCGCCTCTCTCTCGCTCTCTCTCTCTCTCTCGCTCTTTCTGTGTGTTTTTGCTGGCCTGCCCGTCTCTCTGGCTGTCTGCCTGTCGCTCTCTTCGCTCAGGCACTCTTTGTGTTTACGCTTTCAACATTGATACGTGCCACTTTTCGCCGCCATCAGAGATACACACACACAAGCAGGGCACAACGGCAGCAGAGGGACACGGACAGCTGGCTAAGTTTGTAATTAATTGCGGCCTTGCCACACACACTTACAACGCCACGGACCGACCGACCACCCACCCGCACACCCCCAACCTCGTCTGGCCTACGGTGTGCTGCTGCTGCGACGTGAGAAAGCTGTAGCCAAAGCGCTTCATTTGTCCGCCTCGTTGCCGCTGCCGCTGCCGCTTCTGTTATATTTTCTTTTCGCTGTTTTTGCGGGCACGGGGCGAACCTGGGCCCAACATACATGTATACATATGTATGCATGCATGTATGTACATACATACATAGACCCAGCAGAGGGCATTCGCAGTTCCAGCAGAGAAAGCGCGCTAGTTACAGTTGCAATGCATAGCTTTGAGATAGCCCAACTACCCCCGCCACACACACACACCCTCTACTCTACGTTGCTACTTTTGGCAAGTAGCGACTTAAGAGCGCACACAGCGCCGCAAAAGAGCGCAGGGCTCGACGTGATCGGCTACTAATTGATAGTGTGTGTGTAAAAATGCTTTGTGTAAAACAGTCTCAAGCCAGCACCAGCAGAGGCGGCAACTCAATAATAACACTCAAAATGTGCACACACGCACACATGTATATTCGTATATTGCTCTCTCTCTCTCTCTCT